TGAACACATGAACAATATTGGCACAGATCATTCAGATCATTCAGTCTGTTAAGTATTAAAAATTTCAGTTAAAGCAACAACATGAAAACAAAGAGAGAAGTACAAGTACTCACCAACTTGGAAGCCTCCTTTTTCATCCAAATCTCACATTGTTTGGGAGTCGAGGTGCGAGAAAGAGTCAAAAATGTACGTGCTTTGTTTTCATTTTCTAACACACTGATAAAGCTGATGTATTTGTGGTCAGATAGGTTATTGGAAAACATTTTTGAGCATACGTCCATGGCCTTCTCGGAGTACGTTTGCACGGCTTCTTCATGGGGGTTTTGTTTTTTTTTCGTAAGTTTTTCGATTGCGCTGGTCAAACCTCCTAGGCTGTTTTTGATCGCATCATTCTTTCCTTCGCGAGGTCTTTTGGATGGTGGGGCTGACGATGAGGTTGGATCAAGATCATTATCGCTATCATCGGGGTCCAAGATCATTGCCGGTCGCTTTGCCTTGCTTGTTTTCTTTGCCACACGGTTAGATGGAGTAATATTGGCAAGCGGGTAATCCATGAGGTCTGGCATCTCGGACTCAGCCAATTCACCAGTGGCAAAGGTTCCACTGAATACTTGGTGGGCGAGATCGTCAAGCTTGACCGATTTATCTTTAAGCTTTCCAAAACCTCGGCGTGGGTGCGACTTGATGAGTTCGTCCCAAGTTGCTTGATCGGCAGTGACAAGTTGCTTCTCATTGTCCCATCCAAAGCCACTCTGATCGCGTAAGAACTTTACATCGACATAGACATCTCGAATCTTATTTTTGGCATTTTTGACTTGATCACGACTGAGTTTGAGCTTGAATCAATCATTGATCTTCTCCATGAGGTACGTCTATCCAAGTTTGTTGAGGTTTCCGTTGTCGGTGGCCAGGCCCTTGCTGATACACTCGGCTATTCCTTCCAGGAGTTTGGCTTGTTGTTCGTGTGTCCAGGTATGAGGAGGAGTCTTTTCCGGCTTTTCCTCAGCCACTGCGTCCTTTTTTGCTAATTTTCTTCGCCATCTTGAGGGGTTGACTGCTAGAGAAGTTGTTTGTCTTGGGTATGTCTGATTGACATATGTTGTTTGTCATTTTTTTTGGTCCCATGGTACGCGACTCCGGGTGAGAATCATCAAAACCCGCCAGAATCGATTGCCAAGGGTCTGTGGTCGAACCCTTAGTCCCCAGTTGGTTAGTTGTCTTTGGACCCGCAGAATACCAGTGGAGACACTCCATTTCCAAAGAGGGCCCTACTTCCACGCTGTTCCGCTCGCACCTCCTTGGGACGAACAACCACCGATTCTCCAGAAGCTGACATGACGAAACCAGATATACTACTCTTTGACGACCAAGCCGAATCAGACTGGACACAACTATCCATCCCAAGCATCGCGTCTCGCTCTACCACGAATGAAACCGGCCCCAGCAGCTCGACCACTGCCAGGCTTGCACACCATCAACAACCGGCCGCCTCATCGTCTTCCTCTTCAGGGTCTATGATAAAATCCCCAGGCGCTTCTGATTTCCTTTCTACGCAACTGCTTCCCCCCGAGCATTCGAATCGATCCCTAGAAGAGAGCGATTCGTCTACGAACTTTGATCCCCAAGCTTGGAAACGTGGTGATGAAGGTGTCCGGAAGGCGAGAATTCATGTGGGAGAAGCCGCAAGCAGAAGACCAGAGCAATCTCAAAATATCAACAGTCGCAGCCGCTCTTCGTCTTCTTTCTTCTTCGATGCCGCATTCATCCCGCCCCAAGTCATCTCCTCAACAGGGCCCGAAACCACTCAGCGGAGACGGGCCATCAGCAATAGTCGCAAAATACTCAGGCCGAATAGCCTAACAACCTCCGGAACACATACGAGTGGCCATAGTACTTCGCACACTCGCCCGAGCTCTGACCTTGGGCCGCCCTCGAAGCTCTCAGCGGTCCGAGGGAAGCGGTCGAGTGCGCCTACGTGGCGGGCATACACGGGGCGGGAAAGCTCGGCGTCGTGCTCGACGACGAGGACGGGGGACCAGAAGCAGGAGTTTTTGCAGGCGATATCCAACCTGCAAGTGATGGCGAAGATGGGCAAGTTTGAGTGGCTGTCGGCGAGCAGCAATGGGGCCGAGGAAGACCAGGATGCCGACGAGCCCCGCCCAGGACACGCAGACCTCCCCACCTCCACCTTCAATTCCGCCGTCGGTGAGGATGACGACGAGGCCTCTCATCCCCTCCAACCCATCCCCCCGTCCCAGCCGCACCCCCACGATCCTCATAATCATGCATCCCTCTTCTCCCGTCTACGATCCTACATCGGCCGCGCTATCAGCCTCAAAACCTGGCAATTCCTCGGCCTCGGTGGTATCATCTTTGGCTTCGGTATCTGCGCCGGGTAACCTCCCTTCCAACTCTCTTCTCTCCACCTCATCAATTAATCAATTGGCTCATCTTTTTTTTCTGCTATTTACAGGAGTTTCATCGGCCGCAACCTGTCTCCCAAAAACACAAAGATATTCAAGTCCTTCAGTCTAGCTTAACATCCTTTTTCCTGTACACTATGATATCCTTTTTTGTTTCTCCCCTCCCCTTTTCTTAAGAAAATAACGTTATGCATTCATGCTGTATTATCTCGTGATATTTCTGTCACCCCAGGGCCCATGTCCCTGTCTTGCATTGATACTCTCCATCTCAATCTCCATCTTCATTTGTTTTTTTTCTTTTTTACACACGTACATATAGATATCCTGTGATAATAGTAGTAGTACAGTTCTGTGCTACTGTGCTACAGCAGCACACCATTCTCTTCTCTTACTTTCCAATATTGTATATAAAACGCCGGAAGACTTCCCATTGGTCCAAATTGGTTGATTTAGACTGGCTAAATCTAGCTTCTAAACTTTGTTTGGTCATGGCAACTCATCTGTCGTCATTTTTCATCATCAAACAAAGTTTGGAATTTAGAATTAGCCTGTCTCAATTGAGCTTTCTGGGTGGAGGGAAGTCCACTGTTTTGTGTTGGTGAGTCATATATATATACCCTTGTACTATCAGGTAGCCATTGAAGAATATTGAGGCGATGTGGATGCAATTATTAGAATGGCTCAGGATAAAGTCACCAACAATACCATGACAGTTGTTGAATCAGGATATGCAGGCAAGGTGGTGGTGGTGGTGGTGGTGGTGATCTCATGATCTTGTGCATGAGCAAGATATCCTCCCATTCATGGGTCACAACTTTCATTTGGGTTGGTTGGTTGGTTTCAAAATTTGTGCAGGCTTGTTTGGGCACTCAAGAGGTATTTATTTATGGAATTGCAATTTTTCATGTTCCAGAAAAATAAGCCACCTCTGAAGAGTCAGAGTCTCTCTCTTTTTAAATGAATTATGGTATTCAAAATTCAGAAATAAAATCATTCATAACGGGATAGTTTAATTTTGTGGCAGGGGATTCACATTAAAGCTTTTTATATTGTGACAAGCCCCTGTGAGAAAATTTTATGTGAAAGGAATTAATCATTTGATGTCCAGATTTTTAATACCATTACTGTACATCAAGCATCATGTGGAAAGAGCCCTTTGGATCACGGATAACAAAGGGCTCATTCTGGCCTGCAGATACACAATTTTTCTGTTATCTGGGTTTCTACAGCTATCCCCCCTCATGTGAGAACATGTTTTATTTTGGGAAATAATGTTGAATTGAAAGTGGGGATATATGGTTTACATGTGCCTAAAGGTGTCTGTTCTATAAGAAATTGCAAGGAATTTTTTCTTTTGACAAAATAATTGAGGGACTATTGCTGGTGGGAACCAAGTGCTGTGGATGCATGATTTCCTCCTTTGCTAGCTTCCTAGTAACCATGAATTTAACCCATTATGATTTCACTCAAGCTGCAAAATGGAAAATTGTGGCTGTTCCCCACACCTTAGAACCACATGTTGTGTGCAGCACAGCTGCTTACGTGCCATCCTGGGACCTCCACCAATGAAATTCAAGGCAATATAATGTGGAGCTTTTACCTAACCTCTGTATTTCCCATATTAAATGCGCTGGACTTTGTGAGCACACTTGATGCCAGGAAAGGTATTCCTCTAGCTACAAGTGCCACAAAAATTCCGTAAAAATAATTGGAA